TGTATTGCAAAGTTTACACTGTCGGCTATGGACGCGTTATAAAAGTAACAATAAATCACAATATTAAGTTTAAAATAGTTCTTCAGTCGATGGGTGCTGATGACTGGTTGTCCACCCGCCTCTACATAGAACGAAAAGCTAAACAAGTAATAATAATAATAACAACATATTCTGCCCAATTAACACAAGTGCTTCATTGTTGTCAGAGTTTTAACTGTTCATTATAGTAATGTGCAAAGTAATGTAATTGTTATTGCTGTAAATTCTTTCTTGTGACAAAGCGTTTGGTGTTGTTTTAAAATACATATAAACTGTTAATTTGTATTTTTACACAATATAAAAGATGCATCTTAGTTATGCGCAAATACTACCAATACAAGAATTCCATTAAAACATGTACATATGTATTGAGGTAAGCTTATATTTAATAATAAAAAACAAGCACAAATAACTAACAGCAAATATATATATTTCAGACTACAAAGTCTTAATGGCCGGAACCTCTTTGAATCTTAATATTCTTTCATTTGTTGACTTGAATAGATTGTTAAATTTTTGGAGCATAAAATTTTCCGATCACATTCCACAGCATGTTGAAAAACACGCGAGTTGCCACAGATGTAAGAAATAGCATGTTCTACAATCCTTTGCTGGAGACATCTGGTGGCGGACTCAATGTAATCTTTCAAGCAAAGGACATTTATATTTATAGATTACAAGGACTGCTGGATTTTATCGGTTTTGTTCCTGAATAGCAAGAAATTGCTTAGTAGAAAAGGATTCCTACAGACACATTTAATGTGTTTTTAACGATAGGGCTTAAGAAATTTCGCAGTTATAGACCTTAATAACAGGAATTTACTTTCTGAAAAAAAGGAAGGAGATAAAAATTCAGTGTCAACAGCTTATCAACTGTACTAGTTGAAGAAATATTGTTAACATTATTTAGTTTCCTAATTACCCTCCCAGTCCCCGAACATGCTCGCCCTTTCAGCCGTGGTGGCGTTATAATATGACACTCAATCCCTCTATTCGTTGGTTAAAAAGTAACCCAAGAGTTGGCGGTGGGTGGTGTTGACCAATTATCTTCCCTCTACTCTATCACTACTAAATTAAGGACAGTTAGCGCAGATAGCTCCCAAGTGGCTTTGTGCGAAATTAGGAACCAAACCTAATTATTCTTTTAGCATTTTCTTTAATATTTGTAAGAGGAAAACTTATTTTCGTGAACCTGACTAACGTTTGATATCTCATTTTTAAAGTATGTTACTACACATTTTATATGCTCGAATAGGTAATACCTTTATAAAGGGTCTGATATAAACTTTTCATAGTTATAATAAAGACCTGGATATGCTTATGAAAGTAATCAAGATTAAAACCTGAAATATTAAGTTCAACTCTAGTGGTTAGAAATGAAAGTTTGAAGTTATTATTAAATTCAGCATAAAGACTAACGTTAGATAATGCTTGTTATACAAGTTAAAAATGAAGTGGCCCGATCCTTATTGTGAAACAAAACAAATGTTATGAACACATCTTCCTCGTGCAATACAAAGAAAACTGAATTAATTTGTATTATTGGCCACTCACTGCCTTTTATAGTGAGGTAGATAACGTTTGTAACTGTTGTGACTGGACAAGAGAAAGCCTCTGGCAGCGCCATCTAGCATATAACAGATTTAATTGTTAAAAATAAAATAAGAATCTTTTTTATAATTAGTACTTGAAACCGTTGATAATTAGTGAAACTACATAATTACAGAATTGAGAAAAACTTAGATATTGTAGATTTCACAAATATTTTATTTACTAAGACCACGATTTCACCAGCAAAGGTAAACCTGAAATAACTTGTAAACAGGTGTATAATGAACCGGAAGTAACCTTGACATTCACCCTAAGGCAAGTGGGGCGAAAACTAGGGAGGAGCTTACGTTGATTTGGTCATTTTGAACTTTGTCTGTATTAGTTTTTAAGACTTATTTTTTTTTATAAAATTTCCACATTATTTATTTAAACCATTTTTTTTCTAAAATTTCCACATTATTTATTTAGACTATTTTTTTTCTAAGATTTCCATGTTATTTATACATTTATTTAGACTATTTTTTTCTAAGATTTCCATGTTATTTATACATTTATTTAGACTTTTTTCTAAGATTTCCATGTTATTTATACATTTATTTAGACTTTTTTCTAAGATTTCCATGTTATTTATACATTTATTTAGACTTTTTTTTTCTAAGATTTCCATGTTATTTATCTATTTAACTTTTCACAGACGTGTAAAAGCTTGTTGTATTTTCGGATGGGGTGGATGTTTAGTTTCTATATATGATAGGATGCAAAAAATTGAGTATTTTCCCCAGTTTACAGCTTTGTCTGAGATATACACATACTCTATTTCATTCTTCATTCGTTAACTAATAAATACTGTGACTGTACTTTTCAAAAAATATCCAGCAAAATGCAGACTCCGGAAATGCTATATAGAGAATAAATCAGGCAAAGGGAAAAACATAAAAGTAAGTGAACAGATAAACAAAATATATTCAGAAAAATTGCCAGTCTTCACACTTACTGATCGGCTTAAAATTTTACTTTAACTCTTGCTGATTTCTGGGATGAAAAAATTTGAATGCGTCATCCCACTACTACCTAAATGCAGCCACAAAATGTGGAATGTCACATTTACAGCTAGTGGTCAGGTACGACTGGATCTATCTCCCCATTGGTTAATCACGTCGTAGCTGCTGTAAGGTTAGCGAGTTATTTCCCTGTGTAGCGTATTCTGGAGGTAAGATGTTAACATGGTGCGCGAATTTGGTATTTAGAATTTACAGCTTGGAACGATGCTTTAAACGCATACAGGGAATAAACGAGCAGGTCAGTAACTCTGATATCCATCAATAATTTATAACCAGGAACGTCGAGAGCCAGCACGGGCCCCCTTTCTCTCTCTCTTTTAACATTTTTAAGAATTTATTAAAAAGAAGATCCTAAATTAGGACAGCAACGAGCTCATAAACCAGATAAAATCATAGCAGCAGCCGTTTGTAACTCACAGTATAAGCGTAAAAACGTTAATAAAGTAACAACAAATATCTATTAAATCTATAACGTCATTATTAATGTATCAAGCGTCTATATGCAAAGAAAAGCCAAAAACTATGGTTTTTATCATTAAATGAAGACATAGCCAAAAGATATTTTGCGGGCTTTACGGCATAACCAGGTTTCATTCGCTCCGGCCCCTGGGCAGTTGCCTCCCCCTCCCCCCTGTTTATTACTGATGACCAAAGGATGGACAAC